CCCATGTATTTCTCGAGGGCTCCGCACGGAAAAAACCTCCGCAAAGCTTTCGGGAAAAACATAGTCTACTACATACTATACTATATTAAAAATACTATACATACTATACATACTGTACTATTTGGCATATTATACAATAATCTCTACTACATACTGTACTATTTTCTACACTGTATACAATACTTTGTACTTTTCGTATGCTATACTTGTTGCTGTGCTATATACTATACTGTAGAGTGTACTATATATTATATATACCACTACTGTACCCTACTATATGCTACACTGCACCATACGATACTATACTATATACACGAAGCTGTACGTACTGTGCTGTGCCGTGCTATACCATACCATACCATACCGTACTGTACTGCATAAAGACACTCATGACCGCATTTGTTTTCCGAAGGCGCAGGTTGAGAATTTGATCGGAGCTGCGAACCTTTACAGATCAAAGACAGTCGCCGGGTCACCCCAGCTAACACAAAGGAAATAAAACCTGACTCAGCGGCCGCTTTGGGCAAGACCGGATGCTTGCATGGTGTAGTAGCAGCAGACACCATTCTGACATCAAAGCACCTCCAGCTCCTCCGAGTCAGATGCTATTGAATCTCGCGAACTCCCGCCACTTCGTTCTCGCAACATTCCTGGGTTCTTGTCAAGGAATCTATTTCTAGTCAACTAGGATATGCAATAAATTAGTAGATATTGTTTCATTCTCGTAAACTGTGGTGGTTTACTACCTAACCCTACCTACGCCCCCCAACCCCAAACCCTAAACCCGAAAAGCCGTCAACACAAAATAAGAACGTTCAAAAACAATAAAAAAACTGCAAAACAAGATCCCAGCTTCGGCCTTGCGATGGCAAGAGACGGCCGTTGATCTCGTCGAAAGTCAAGGAGCCGTTCTTATCCCTTTGAGAGGACGGGCGCAGAGACTCCAAAACCCCTCAATTAAGGAATAAACTTAAATCATATTAGGGTTCCTATTATGATTTAGGGCATATTCCTTAATTAAGGGTTCCTATTATGATTTAAGGCATATTCCTTAATTTAAGGGGTTTTGGAGTCTCCTGGGGGCTTCAGGGTTAAGGGTTCGACAGTCCTTTCGCCGGGTGGTTCATCCTTTCGTCGCGCGGGTCGGTTTGGGCCGAGGCCCGCGCGCTTAGAAGCACGCAGATTGCTGATAAGTAGCCTCGCTGCTTAGAAATATTCGGTCGAGCCCCACGCGCTTATAAGCACGCAACTTTGCTATAAGCAGACTTGCTGCTTATATCTACTTTTGGTATATGTAGGTTTAAGCTGCGCATAAGCAAATTGAGTTTCGTTTGATTGTACTTACATCGACACTTTTTCAAATGCAAATACGAAAGTGAGGTAAGCATTCGCACTGCCACCTACAATGTCGCAAGTCGGCTGTGCCCGTAGAAGACAGGGCGGAACCTTTATAAGCTCTAAACCCCTAAACCCTAGGGTGCAGAACGGGAAGAACAAACTCAGCAGCTTGAAAGGTGCTGCTCGCGCAGAAGCCTAAAGAAAATCATACCTCAAAGAAAACCTGAGGGTTTAGGGTTTAAGAACTCGAGTCACAGGACGGTGGTTGTCCAGCAGATACTAGTACCGACCCTTAAAGCTCAAAAAACGCTGAACCCTACCACCCTACACCTTCAAGTCCACAATCTCCAACCCCACACCCCCGAAGTCCTAGAAACCCCCTCATAGCAGCAGCGAACATGCTGCCCAGAAGCTGGTCGAGATCCTTAAACAAGGCTTCGATATCTTGGATCGTTTCCTGCTTGACCCGCCCCTGCCTCACAAGCATATACCTGGGTGGGCCGGGTAGCAGTGACATCGAAAAAAGCCTATCAATTGATCCCCCGAAAGCCGCAAGCCCTAAACCCCTAAACCCCCAAGGCCCTGAACCGCACCCCAAATTCTCGAAAGCCCTTAGACGGTCAGACAACGGTGACTTCTGCACTGGTTTTACAGACAGACAGCCTAAACCCTAAACCCTAAACCCTAAGCCCTAAAGCCCAAAGGATTGAGATTGCTCTTCCGAGAAAGGGAGGCCCAGGGAGTAGGGATGTGGGATTCACGGTATATGGTTTAGGGGTTTAGTGTTTAGGGTTTAGGGGTTTAGGGGTTTAGGGTTTAGGGTACGTAAACTCAGGGTGCAGGATTCTTGGTTCAGGATTTAGGGATTTAAAACGAACCGATTTTGCAAATCGAGTCGATTTTACACGACTAGAGCTTAGGGCAGCCCCCCGTAAGAAGGCAGTTGACTTGGGCACCACGCAGGCGAACCCTAAACCCTAAAACCTAACTCGGTTCGTTCGAGATCAGAGGGTTTTGGGGCTATTTTTGGGCCTAGGAAACACAGAGCTTGGGCTGTAGAGTTCCTTTTGTTTCGGGCTTCAGCTTCGAAGTCTCTGGGCACTCATCGCCTCCTTTTTCCACAGCGTTTCTGGGCTTCAGTCCCACCCCGAACCCTTAGATATGAAAGCACCGAATGGAACAGTACAACTTTGCCGCCCAAATTCAACCCCACTTAAACCCAAAACCCTGAACCCTAAGCTCCAAACCCTAGACCCTAGAAGATTCTAGACCCTAAACCGTGCACATGTCAAGGCCCAGCTCAGAGGCTTCGGGGTGTGAAATCCGAAAGACGATACGAGCCCCGATCTCCCCTGCACCCAAAAGCCCTGAGTTTCACCGTAGGTCCGCCGCAGGTATTTGAGGCTCCCGATCCCACAATTCAATCAAAGGCCCGCAGTCCCGAGATTTCCCCCTCACAACGACAGAACGCCCATCCTCCCACGCACCATTGCACCATTTTTGCTTTTCGTTGACTTTTGGGTGCACGATCCAAACTTGTGCGAAAGACAATGTCCACTGTCAGCTACACCCAGAAAGCCCGACACCTTTTGCGTCTGGCATTTGCGCTGTGCACATGTGAATCGCATCATATGCTGCAGGTTCAACTGAGCTGCAGCACGAACTCGCTGCGGGCCACCTTGCCAGATCTATTTCCTCGGTTGACCGGGGTTCGAGGGTTTAGGATTTAGGGCGAGTTTTGGATTCTGGATTTCGGAGTTCCTTAAGGAACCTAAACCCTAAACCCTAAAGGGTTCACGTCGTCCCTAAGGAACCTAAACCCTAAACCCTCACCCTTATAAGAGCCCTTAAAGGGACCCTTTAAAATTCGAGGGCTGAGGACCTGGGGTCGAATCTGCATGGAAACCCTGAGCCCTAAACCCTAAATCCCTAGACCCCAATCCTTAAACCCTAAGTGCCAAACCCTACTCTTCAAGCTCTAAACCCTTAACCCAAAAAAAATCCCTACACCCGGAACCCTCAAAACCTAAAGCTCTGGACCCTTTCGGGCTCGGGGAGGGGGATCTGGTTCCTCGAAGGAGGAGGCTCTGCACGACATCGCAGCAGCCTTGATTTGGTGTTTAGGGCAAAAGGTGTGGGGCTCGTAGGTTTAAGGTTGAGGGTCCCTAAACCATATAATCCCTAAACCCCAACCCTAATCCCTAAACCCCAAGCAAATTAGGAGCTGAGTTAGCAATTTCTCTGAAGGTTGCTCAGTCCCAATGTGCGCGGAGCTGAGTTAGCAATTTCTCGGAAGGTTGCAGGTTGGTCAGTCCCCCTGTGCCGGATGAATGCCAGTTGAACCTCCGAGAAATTGTCTCTCAAGGCCTCCACAATCTGCTCAGACGACGAGATCCCTAAACCCCAAACCCTAAACCCTAAACCAAAACAGCCCCAGTTCTACCTCTCACAGTCAAGAGCCGGCACCACGCCACCTAGTCACCGAAACATGCTTCATCTCTGATGTGTTTTGGGGTTTGGGGTTTAGGGTTTAGGGGGGCTCGGTATGGAGCTTGTCCCATAACTTTCATGCAGAGCTTGAGAGTGGCTTTCATGCTGATATAATCCCATTCATCATTGCGTAAGAATGCACTCATCATTATTTCCGTTTTAGTTTGAAAAGCAGGAGAGGCAGCAATGTCTTCAATAATAGGCATCCAATATGGAACCCGGCTGGGGAGAAGAGTCGATAATTTGCTGCCAATTTCCATAGCCGCCATGTGGCATCAAGTACGTATGTTGGCATTAGCATGTTCGTGATTTCGTGCCATTATACATTCATGTACAGTGACAGTGTTATACAAACAATAAAGATATATATAACACCATCAGACACAATAATGCTCGCATGCCAGATACTTGAGCATGACCCATCACCATCTCACGGACTATCAAGTCATTTTGTGTAGTACAGATATCGGACCCGTCTGACTTGAAGCGTAGACCCAATACTTTTCAGATTAGCGTATCGAGGACCGCATGGGCCAAGAGCCAATCGGATCTGCTTGTCAATGGCACTGATACATTCACCCAAAGCAGGTTCTATCGTGCTGCGCATGAGGGCCGCGCTTGTTTGTAGTAGATCCACAACAACCTTTTGCGATGATGCAGAATGGTCGTACAATGCGAGGATGACGTTGAATTGCCTCGTACAAGAACAGACGTACTGATTCTCGTTGGCGTGGTGCTTGTTAATGTGTGTCCGTAGATGTCGAAGTTGAGCAAATGAGCGAAGCGGACTCGGATTATGCGACGGTGTCGTTTTGAACCGGAACTGTTTTTTATTCAAAAAGCCACACTCATAGACAATGGCCAAGTGAATTGGACTTGGAGTCTTCATACGCGGGCATTTTCCTAAGCATAGACAGACATCAGCTGATGTATGCAGCGAGGGTTGTTACCGGGACCAGGAATTGAAAAATTCCTCCTCAAAACCCTGCCCTTATCCCCTAAGCCCGACAAACTGAAAACCCCGCACCCAGACCCCCCCTACTCAATGGACATGCTTTTTGCCTGCGGGAGGCTGTCCATCCTCTCGAAAACCCTGCGAGAAACCAGGACTCCTGACACAAGGTTTAAGGTGAAAGCGATTCAGGGTTGAAAGTTGGTTTGGTGTTTAGGGCGCAAGGTATAGCAATTAGGGGTTCAAGGGCTTTGGCTTAATAATAGTAGTAATAACACAATAACAATAATAATCATCGTCATCATCATCACCATCATCATCATAATTCAGAATACAAACAACAATTCTGATGATACTTATTAGTTCATGAGACGTACACGACTGAGGGTTTAGCGCTTACCCTACACCCGAAAACACAATAGTTTTGCGGTTTCACTTGAGGAGTATACTACTCGCTAGACCTTGAGTCACACTGACGGAGCCCTGGAGAATTTGATGTGTATTCCTTAGTCAGAACGGTTTCGGGCTCTCGGCGAAGGAATACCGACACAAGCTGTGAAGGAAGCTGTCCCGAATTGAGCCACGGTGCTATTTTTGTGGTACATCCTCCACTCTTGCAATAAAGTCGACACCTTGGGCACGCGACAGGCACTCTGAACCCGAGACCCCAAACCCTAAATGCCCTAAAGCCCGAAACGCAGGCAAGGGAGGGCATCGCTGGCCCAAAAGGGTTGTTGGGGGGAGGTTGTCCCAATTCGGGTCGTTCTGACTGCGCACGACCGAGCCATTACGACCCAGAGAGCCCAATATCCTTCGTCAGCTACGCAACATAGATACCTCCTTCCAGGACCTCTCTCTCTCTCTCTCTTTTTCATGCAAAGTACATTCCTGAATTCAGGAGGCCCCTGGCATTGGCAACTCCAAGCCCTGAAACCTGAAACCCTAAGCCCTAAACCCTCAGCCTAAGAACACAAGAGCATTGCAGCCGAGCGTCATGAGTGACCACCTTGCCGAAGGCCATGATGCCAAGGATCATCCAGATCGAGCCAAATATCCTTCCCAGAGAGCCCCAAAGCCCCTTATTGATAGGGTTTAGGGTTTTGAAAGGACATTCAGGATCTCTCTATACTCTATACATGAATGTGCAATCCTCGTATACATGTCCTTCCAAGAGAGCCCGAAACCCCTGAACCCAGGTCACACTGCGAAAGTTTCCCTAGAAACTGGAGGTCTCCTCCTTTTCTGAAGGTCTGTTGGAGCTTTCGGATTCCGAGAAGTAGCAGCACCCCACATCATATCGGTCTAGGGCATAATTCGGGGTTTTGGGGTTGGGGTGGGGGGGAGTGCAGCCAGGGCGGTTCTTCCTCCAAACCCTAAGCCCGAAAGCCTTGAGCCCTAAAACCGAAAACCTTAAGCCCTAATCCCGAAACCCTAAGCCCTAATCCCCAAACCCAAGCCCTAATCCCCAAATCCCCACCCGAAACCCTAAGCCCTAATCCCGGATCCCCAAACCCCAAACCCCAAATCCCCCAAACCCTAAACCCGAAAACCTTAAGCCCTAGTCTCTATTCCGCAAACCCCCCAAACCCTAAGCCCGAAACCTTAAGCCCTAACTCCCGAGCCCCAAACTTGCAATGCCAAATGCCAAACCTTGGACTCCCACACCCCGAACCCTAAGCCCAGACCCTAAACAAGCCCTAACGGTTTAGGGTTTAGGGTTTAGGGCTAAACTTTGCCCGAAACCCGAGCTAAACCCGAAGCCTCAAACCCCGTACCCCCTTACTAAGCTACACCCGAAATCCTTCAAAAAGCCCTAAACCCAAACTAGGACCCCACGATCCCCGTATAGACTGATCTCCCTACGGATCCCTAGAAAAACGTCCCCGAAAGCTCACCCCTAAACCTTAAGCTTCCTTAAACCCCAAACCCCCCTAAACCCTAAACCCCTAAATCCCTAAACCCCTAAACCCCTAATCCCTAAACCCCCAAAAACCCCCTAAACCCCTAAACCCTAAACCCTAAACCCCCCAAAAAGCGCAAATCCCCCTAAAAGGGCTCCCACAAGAGATGCCTTCCCTTCCTCGACTTGGGGCTGAAATCGCCAAAGCCGACGGTGGAGAAGGTGATGACACCCATGTAAGATGCCTGGGCTCTTACGGTTTAGGGTTTAGGGTTTAGGGTAAGATGCCTGGGCTCTTGAAACCTTTTTGGGCTGTCGGGCCTCGGGTGCAGAGGGCTGGGGTTTTGGCTTTAGGGTTTCTGCCTCAGGTCTTAGGGTGCAGAGCTTCCGGGTATTGGGCTCTTGAAGGCTGGGCTCCTGAAGGCTTCCTTGCGGGAGAGGGATTTCAGTTCTAGGGCTGAGGGCCTGAGTCTGGGGCTTAGGGCTTGGAGGTCATTTTTTGCCATAGGTCCCCATCACTTCGGAGCTTGACCTCAGCCCTCGAAGAAGCCTGAATTAAACCCTGAATCCAAGCCCAGATGCACTGAGGGCGCTGAGTTGAACGCCTCCGGTGGCCTCGCACCGCTGCCCCTCTTCGCAGCCATCAATGCGAGTCGCTCCATAGGAACAGGAGCATCCTCCGGGCTTCTTGAAGTTCAGTGCTTAGCGCTTCGGGGGCTCTAAGGGTCTCTATAGGATTTCTATGAGGGTACTATATGGGTACTAGATGGGTAGCTCTCTAGGCTCTGGGGTTCTCAAAGTTGGGTGTGTAGAGCTAAAAGGCTCTAGGGATCTCGGGTTCAGGGTCTAGGGCTGTAGGGTTCTCGGGCTTGGGGTTTGGGGATCTTGACAGTAGGTGTGCCATGATCCTTGGCCAGGGTTTTGTCTGCGAGGGTTGTTTTTTGAGTTTCGCGGCGTTTGAAATCACTAAGTTCCCCGGCACCCCCTTTTATGATCAGGGCGTTCTCCTTCCGATTAGTCAGAGTTACCAAGGGAACCCCACGAAACTCGGGAGATTTTATCCTTCTACTTGGAAGCTCCCCGGCCAGGGGGCTTATGGTTCAGGGTTTAGGGCTTGGTGAGTGATGTATACCTTGAGGCACCAGCTGTAACTACGACACTGCAATTGAGGTCAGGTTCTTGAGTCCTCTGCTAAAAGCCAACGACACCGAAAGAGAGAGTTGTTAAGCAAGAGGTTGAAGGTTTAGGGTTCTTGTAATCTGCGTGGTTTTCTGGCTCAGCGTCCTTCGAAGATCATGAAATAGGCGACCCAAGCGGCAAGGAAGAAGAGGTAGACCAGTATCCAATGCCTTACTCCCCGAATACCACAGAAATAAAGGGTTGAACTATCAAAAGAATACCAACATTACACGACAACATAAATTTAGGCGTTTGGCATTGGAGAGCTGAGGCACAACAGGCTGTATACAGACCTGCTCAAAGTAAATATGCCGTCCGTCGGGCCACAGGTGCTACCCACGGAATCCTGGTTGCCACTCCTCACCTGGCTTACCCAAGGCCCAAACAAATGAAGATTTTCGGAGTCAACTTTCAAAAAAATGAAAAGCCGCCTGCGAGAAAGTTAGAATCCTCAGAGAGCTCATGAAGTATTACAAAAGCACCAGTGACACCTCATCCCGAAGCTGATGGGGGTTCCGTGCACGTTATGATGTGTAAGTCGCCCAAAACCCTGCCTTTACACCCTATAAGACCCGTCTGAACCGTATAAACCTAGTCATATTGCATAGCTGTCAACATCATAGTCCTTTGGGGAGCCTTGCATAACGCTGCTCAGAATACGGCCAGGAGATCCTAATTTGGACAACCAGCCATATCCCGAAACCCTAAACACTTCTTGTCCTTTGTTTTTACACCTTATATGGATTCGTGGAATATGGTTTTTTCTGTGTTTTTCTCGCCAAATGCAACGGAAAATTGCATAATTCAGCGAAAAACTGCAAAAATCTGCGGAAACATTGCAATATTCAACACAAAGGCCGGCTCTTCGTTGAATATGGCCATTTTCTCGCGGAATTTGGCAAGATGTTCGCATAATTTGGCAATTCCTTCGTGGAACATTGCGTTCTTTCCGCCACACTCAAAAACAATCCCACATTGCTAATTGTGGAGTTGGGATTGACACCGATTGGACTTTTTGTGTCAGCGTAAGCATTTGGGGCGCATGACATTGCGTTCTTTCCGCCACACTCAAAACCAATCCCACATTGCTAATTGCGGAGTTGGGATTGACACCGATTGGACTTTTTCTGTCAGCGTAAGCATTTGGGGCGCACGAGATATTTGCTTCAAGATGGTTTGTTTTTCAACAGATTTGGGGCGTTGGCTTTCGTGCAGCAGCACTACTTGTCACTGCCTGCAGCGGGCCCAAAACAGAATTGCAGGTGCATGCATCTGTTTGGTGTGGGTACCAATGAGCCCGCGCTGGCTGCTCCTGAGTTGAGTGGCCGGTCCCCCCTGCCGGCACACGATATCACCTGCAACTCTGACAAGCTAGGCATGAAAAGGGTGGTGAAACAAGGGACCGGACTGAAGATCAACGGACGACCGAGGTGTGTTGGTCCCGTCGTAACATGAGCTCTTGTAGCATGGCAAACAAGATCTTCAGAGGAGAGGGCAGAAGAAACCCGCAGCATATTTCCTGCATCATTTAACAGGACAAAGGTGCCACATCCGGGACTGATGCCATGCGTAGCGAACAACTTAATACGTAGTTACGATGTCTTGTTTGCCTCGGCCATAAGAGTGGCTGCTGCGATCCCAACTCAACTGCAAGAGACTACGAGTGACGAAATTGACCATGATTGTTGCAACTAAAGCCCCGGATGAGTTGACCGTTCGGCAGGCACGGTTCCACTAGCGCACTAGCGTCTAGGCAAAACTGGGCAGTATGTGCGGCTATGCATCTCGATTTCTCCCCTGCTGCCTCACACCTTTAAATCTAGGCTGCGTGTGAGCTGCTGCGAAATCCAAGTTTGCTTGCTTCGAACCAACACGTAGGTGTGTGCTTTAGTTGCCCCATCGGCGACGCTTCGTAGCATCATGGATGCCTTCACGGAATTGGAGCTCACCGCCACCCATAATGGCAGATATGTGGCCACAAAATTCCGACGAGGGGTATTCTGGGAACCCACACCTGGTTTTGTTAAAGCTTCGCCAAACCTTCAAATCGAAGTGGGAATATCTCATACTCTCTAGCGAAGAATCGTGCGTTTGCTTCAGGGATGCACCTTTGAAAACAATGCACTGAGAGCCTTGCAACTGCTTTTTGCAGTGCGGCCCGTAAGACTCCTGATACAGCCCCGCATGGCGCCATTGGAAAAAACCCAGCCAGCGCACTGGTCTATCGGCAGAAGGGTTGTTCAGCCTAGCCACGAGCTCCTCCATGGGAGCTTCGCTCCGGGCATCAGCTTCAAAGAACCAAAGTGCCGTAACTCTCTTGCCCCTTAAAGCCACGAACTCGAGGGAACCACTTGTGGTGAACTCCATACCGCAAGACTTCGCTTGACTTGATGGGTTTACACATGTGCTAGTCGCGAGCAACTTTATAGCCATACACTATGGCAATGGCCGCTTGTGGGACACCCGCGCTGGCCAACCATTCCTTGCACCGTGCGTGAGTGCGATGGTTGCCTGTATGGCTCAGAAAGCAACATGTTAAAGAATCCAGCCGACATTGCCCGTCATCAAAACAAGGTCGTCCGAGTCAACATGATTGTATGCGCACCTGTGCAACATGACGACGTTAGGGCCTATGGTTTTGGGGCTTAGGGTTTAGGTTTAGGTCTTAGGGTTTTGGTGCTTAGGGTTTAGGCCTCAGGTAGGACCAGGGTCTCGGGTTCAAGGCTTAGGGTTTAGGATTTCAGGCTTAGGGTTTAACAAAAGTATAATGGCTTCCTAATGATGTGATTTCCGGGGGTGAGCTCGACTAGAAACTGCTCGATCCGGAGCTAAACCCTCAACCCTAAGCCCTCAACAGAGAAACAGATAGAAATTGTTTGCTGCTGCTGGCCATCCGGAAACCTATTTCGGGTCGGGACACAACCTTTCCAATTTCTATAGAACACTTTCCGTTTCAGGGTTAATCACATCAACCCAAACCCACGCGCGATCGCCCAGCACCCAGCCCAAACCCAGCCAACCCAGCCTAGCCCAGCCCCAGCGCCCCACCCCAGCCCAGCCCAGCCCCAGACGCCAAGCAGCCCCAAGTTCAAAATTCAGGTTCCGAAGTACAACACTCCCTCAAAGCTTATCGGCACAATTTCTATACAATTCTACACGGAGGGCCAGGTCGCCAGGGTCCGAATTCCTTCCAGGGACTCATGGAGCCGTTGATCCGAAGCTGCCAGGAGAGACTCCGTCACACGATCCAGAAGCCTTAGGGTTTAGGGTTGAGGGTTGAGGGTTGAGGGTTTAGGGTTTAGGGTTTGAGGGTTTAGGGTTGAGGGTTTGAGGGTTTGAGGGCCTCATTCTGGGGGGGGCTTCAGGGTTCCTTTAAGTGGTTTCTGTGAGGCTTTAGAGGGTTTTCTCTCCGTGGCGTAATAGGCGCTTGGGGGTTGGGGCCTTTGAGACTTAGATTTGTGCATGGCAGCTTCCCCAGAAGGGCTCTTCCCAGACCAATGAAGGTTTGTGGAAGGCTTTGCCTAAGGCCCAAAGCTTAACTTATGAAGTTTTGGCAGGGTTTGGTGGCGTCAGATTCCCTAAACCCTCAGCCCTAAACCCTAAACCCTAAACTCCGTAAACTCTCGGGGAGCCAAGAAGCCCTGCAAGGAGGACGGTGCCCAGCAAGACGTAGAATATCAGGAAGAGTTCTCCACTCTCAGTGGGAGCAATGTCTCCGTAGCCGACCGTGGTGATAATTTGGACCGTGACATAGAAGGACGTCACGAGAGTCCAGTCCTCTTTGAAAGACATCACGCAGATGCCAACGGCGGCATACAAGATAAGGGCAATGATGTTGACCTCGGTGGCATGTCGGACAGAGCAAACCCATTGCCCGGGAACCCACAGCCCTTCACCCAAAGAGCCCTCAAGCCTGAAACCGAAAAACCCTAAACCCTAAACCCTAAACCGAAACCGAAAAAGCCTATGAACCCCCCAAGCATCCTGAACCCGGAAAACCCATAAAAAAACCCTAGAAACCTACACCCAAACCTGACACGCAGAACCCCCCTGGCCCGAAGAAAACCCTAGGTCCTAGGCAGCACCATAAAAACCCCCCCAAAAGCCCTAAACTCTGAATCTAGGGCTTAGCGTTGAGGGCTTAGGATAAGAAAAGCCTGAAACAACGGGACAAAAAAAAAAAACAAACCACACCACGGGCTGAAAGTCACCTTCGTCGGATGCCGCACGTAGAATGGAAGATCCCACGCCAAGGCGGCGTCCTGCAGGAGTTTCGGGTTTTGGGGGCTCTTGCCTCGTTGTCTTGCCCAGGGGGACCCTATGCAAGAAAGGGTTTAGGGCTTGGGGCCTCCATAAGGCACTACACTCGATGTTAGAGTTCGGGAGTTGCCCGTGTTCGGTTTTCGGGAGACCTGAAGCTGAGGCTTTGGCTTCGCGGCACCAGCTGCCCGGAAATGGATGCAGTGCACGTCAAGACTGCCAGAAACCACAGAAATGTCGTAAGCTCTAAGCCGTTGTGTAGAGGCTACAGGGAACAGCACAAAGTGAGAATAAATACGGTTCAGACCGGCATCGCTCAACAAACAATCACAGTGAACCCTCAACCTAAACCCTAAACCGAAGTTAGGTGCTTCAGATGTTTGGGGTTCGGGGGTTTGTGATGTTCAGGACTATGAACGGCGTCGGCTTTGCACAAGAAGTACAAACTTTGCCTGTCACGATTACATTGTAGGTAGCGTGTAGACTCCAGCGTTTTCCGATTTAGGGTGCGGGGATTGAGAGTCCAGAACCCACGGATTAGGGTTTAGGGTTTAGGGTTGGGGGCTAATGGGGAGAAAGACGACTTAGGGTCTGTGCAGGAGACTCCTCGTCGGACTCTGATGATGCTTCACCCGTGTCCATGAGTGCTTTGTCCTGCGGGTGCCGAGCGCGAGAAACTTAGCATATTGGGATATTACCATGTAGACCACGAGAGCCAGAACCAAGTTAACATAATATCCCTTCTTATACTCCTTTCAATAACTGTATAATACCCCTAGAATACCCCTATACGACCATCATACTACCCCTGGAATAACCCTGTACTACCCCTAGAATATCTGTTATACTGACCGCAGAACATCCTTGACCCCACCCTTAAGAGGCAAGTGGGTGCGGCACATGGTCGAAAGTCTCCCTAAACCCTAAACCCTAAACCCTTGAACCTTAAACCTTCAACCGTGGCACATGCTCGAAAGTCTCGAAGGGCTTCTTGGCCAGAGCCCTTGCCATTCTGCGGCAAAGGGCGGAGTTCGGACGTGCACGCCAACCGTCAGAAAGGGTTTAGAGTGAAGGGTGTAGGGTTTAGGGTTTACAAAAGCCTGATGGATTTCCAACTTCACAAAAAGCTGAGCATTTAGAGCTGGTTCAGAGTTTAGGGCTTGAGTGTCACCATCCTTGCCCTGCCCTCTCCTTGACCCAAACTGCTGAGAGGAGGCACGATTTCGAACTCAGTTCCCCAACATGCCTTTCACAACACAGGTTTTCCATTCTTCAATACGGAAACCCCAACTTGAAAAAGGTGTGATAGCGCAATTGGCAGCAGGATTCGCGCTGGTCAGGCTGTCCCAGAGTCGCCGATATCCCCAAACTCTCGAATGAACCTGAAACCTACAACGAAACACTGCACAGCTTGAGGGGAATGTTGCTTCATTTCGTGGCTTTGGAGTCTCTGAGACAGGCTTTGAGGAATCCAGAGCCCAACTAAACAAAACGCTGCATCAGCCGTCGTGTTACGAGCTCAGCATGGGCTCTACTTGGAGGTTCATGGGTAGTTATAAGTGGGGTTATAAGTCCCCTAATATGGGTTATAAGTATAGTTACCCTACTTACAACCCCACTTATAACTACCCATGAACCTCCAAGTACAATCTGGCAATCCCTTGAGGCGGCCGCCAGGGCAGAAAAAAACCGGGACCAGAGTAAGCGGAGCGAGCTCTGAAAGCCGTGAACGGTATTGATGATGTTGTCTAGCTAAATGCTGCTGAGACGGTGATCGCAAGCAATCTTCCAACAACATGTTGATGATGTTTGTTGCGATTCAGCATGCTGACTGCAAGCCACAATACGGCCGGCAAGCACAGCAACCTGCCAAGCAAGCCCTGTCGACCCATGCCGTGAGCTCACTGCAATGCAGAACCCTAGCCACTCAGTGCCAGTCAAACTTATTAAAACAAGTTAGATCCTAAACGCTATCCCGACCCCTTTATTCTCAACTCCCCTACCTCTCGCAGCATGCCACCTTGGCACCCAAACTCCTGCAAATGAAACGTCCCTAAACCCCAAGCCCTAAACCCTAAACCCTCAACCCTAAACCCTAAACCCTAAACCCTAAACCCCAAAAAACAGATGCCAAAAACGAAGCAAAACCTTCAGCCGACAGCCTGAGAAGCTCAAGCCTCTTCACCTTGAACCTCGGCATCCTTGGCTGCCTTTCACAAAACAGACAAATCTACTCATAAAATATCTATATATATATATACATATATATATATATTATACAAAGGTATATGGGTATGTAAATGATAGGTGAGTTAGACAACTGATGGATAGATGGATGGATGGATAGATGGATGGCTATAGATCGACAGGTAGATTGTTAAGTGGATAGAGAGCGGCATATTGCGCAGATGTCTGTGCAAAGGTTTGTATGTGCTTCTAATGTCACGCAGCAGCTTAGCTTCCCTAAGCCCTAAACCCCAAACCCCAATCCCTAAACCCTAAACCCCAAACTCTAAACCCTAAACCCTAAACTCTACACCCCAAACCCCAAAACCCCAAGATCCTCAGACAAGACCGTTTCACTTTTCAAGGGACCCGGGACTCCTCCCCCATCCCATGGGTTTTGAAGCAGAGGCTTGGGGTCCAGAGTTTTAAGGCTCAGGGTTTAGGGTTTAGGGTTGGTGGCGTTGCGTCCTTTAAAGAGGGATCCATAAGGCCTCCTTTACAGGGATCTTTTGGGGGCATTGGAGAGTCCATGGCTTCTTAATTATGGCTTTGGGCTTTCGGGTTTAGGGTTTAGGGTTTAGGGTTTAGGGTTTAGGCTTTCGGGTTTAGGGTTTAGGGCTTTCGGGTTTAGGGTTTAGGGCTTTCGGGTTTAGGTCGGAATAGGGTCCACGGTTCAGGGTTCGCTGGAGGCGACTAGCGGACGAAGCTCGCGAGTCCAAACAAGAATTCGTGACAAGCGAGGGTTCTTCTAAAACCCTAAAACCCTACAACCCTAAAACCCTAAACCCTGAAAACCCCTGAAACCCTAAAACCCCAAAAACCCCAAAAAACCCTAAAGCCCTAAAGCTCTAAACCCTCGAACCCCAAAAAAAAAAACCCTAAAAGCCCCTAAACTCTGCGAGGCAGATTTCGCCAGCCAGCTCAGTTGAATTGCTGGGGTCTCTCCGCTTCACCTGCTCAACTCAGGGGTGGGGGAGTTGCTCCTTAGAAACTTTAGGGTTTAGTGTTTAGGGTTTAGGGTTTAGGGGTTTCTAGAGCCCCCATAAAGATAAAGAATAGAGCCCCCTAAAGCAACAAAGAGCCCTCTGAGTATGCCGTAGGAGTTCCCTTTCAGGACTCTTGCAAACAGGGGCTGCTCGTTAAAGTCTCCGGGTTGCTATAGAGGGTGAGGGTACTATAAGGGTTCCTCTGAGGGTTCTAAGAAAGCACCTCAACAAGGAGTTAAGGTTCATTTAGGAATCCTTCTCGGGATTCTGTACTGCACAGGACTGTACATCAGGTCAAAAGAAATGCGTGGCTACAAGAACATGCATCGCAATTGCAGGACCTAGCTGACCTAGCTTTGGACTTGTTATATGAAGTTGGGTGGTTTACATTCGTCTCCCCAAGAGGAGCCCGTCTGTAGTCTTGTCGCACTAGCTGCTAGCTCGTTGCCGGAGGACTCGGAGTGAGAGGATGTGCATTTTACGTGGCCTGGCCAGCCGACGAGTCTCTGCGCTGTTTCAAACGGTACTTGTTCAATTTCGTAAGGTCGGGAGCCCTGCCCCTTAGCTCGTGGAGGAGTCTGCAGGGGACAGGGGGGTTCAAAGTAACGTAGGCACAACTGCCCGCTGCGAAACACTTTCGCCCTGGCACGGTGTCCTAAGATCAGCAACACTTGGAGGTTCATGGCTAGTTATAAGTGGGGTTATAAGTAGGGTAACTATACTTATAACCCATATTAGGGGACTTATAACCCCACTTCTAACTACCCATGAACCTCCAAGTACCTTATGCATATCCGTGAATCCGAGCAATGCCAACACTCGTTGGCCCACGGATCCACACAAACAGAGGCCGGAAAGGTTCCTCAACTAGTCAACTCGAGTGGCGGGTGGGAGATGTACGAAGTTATCGGGAGGGACGAGCGCAATGGTTCTTCGATCCGCACCAAACCCTACATCCTAAACCCTAAAACCTGAACCCTAAACCATAAACCTTGAGGAGGCTGTAGATCGGCAAGCTGAAGCACTAAAGTCACTTAAAGGTATGTTTCCCAGCTACCGTGTTTCTTAAGTCGGAGTCTCTGCGTGAAGTCTTCGGGTCCCGGCTTCGGGTCCCCGCTATGGGCTCTAGGCTTGAAGGGTTTTGGGTTCAGGGGTTCAGGGGTTGAGGAGTTTTGGGGCCTTTTGGGTTTTGGGTTCAGGGGTTGAGGGGTTTTGGGGTTTAGGGAAGAAGGCTGGCATCTCTGGCGTTGGCCCGCCGGCTTTGGAGACTTCCTGCTGGCCACCAGAGCTTCTGTCTTGGGGGCTACAGGTTTTTACATGTTTTTACCAGGTCATGATGCGAGCACTGCCGCAAGAGCATAGCCGGAGTGACAGCTCATCGGACTTGCCTTTTTCGAAAGCTGTAATCGCCGTCCTCCCGGATCCCCTCCTACCGGTGCGTTGGCCTCACACCGTCGCCGATATTTTCACAGTTGCAGAAGTACATGTCTTGGCCACAGCCTGCACAGGACTGCTCCTCAAGGGGAAGCGGCTCCCTGTCCTCGCAGCAAGCATCCCACCAGTCGATCACTTTGCATACGTACTCCCCGTTGTTCTGGCCCAGGCTCTCCCAAACACCGCTGCAGCGTGGCAGTCTTTCGAAATTGGCCTTCATCTCGCAGCCTTTCTGTTTCCGGGCCGGGCACTTTCTGTGGATGAAGTCGAAGGTGGCCACACAAACCTGGAGCTTGTCCTTATCCGGCAATGCCCCTACACCATGCATGCCGATGTAGAAGATGCCCTTGATCAAACCGGACAAGAGCTCCGGTGTGGAGGAGGACCCCGAGACGCCATGCATAAGGGTATCACCGAAGTGCTTGCCGGCCGTTCTCTTGCCACAGACCGAGTGACAGCCACCGCTCATATCCTTTTTGGAGGCATCAACAAACTAAACGCCAGCCGCTGCGTGTCAAAAACCAAAAAAGACACACAAAAGCCTTCCTTCAGTTGCTTTCTTCAATTGAAAAACATTGCTTTCTGTTACAAAACAAGCGTCCACGGGTTTCATCGGCGCGCCACAGTTACATCCCACGGCTGGGATTTGAGCTGCGATGGACTTCGTCCGATCGCACGGGGGGTATCCTTTGCGATTCCATTTGGGTAGTTCTCTAAATAAGGGTCCCGTATTGAGTCCCAAAATATAATAAGGTACCGCACCCTTACCCTTATAAAAGGACCCCAAAAGGGACCCCAATTCAGAGAAGGAGCCCTTCGAAGGCTTAAGCCTTAAGCGCTCCCTTTTGAAAAAACTCTGACTTAGACCCAAGCCCTATAGAGAATCCCAGCAGGACCCTCCAAAAGCCTCTGCAAGGGTGCAAAACTGCATAGCTGGACAGTTACAAAACTAGAATGGACTTGAAACTCTCGGAAAAGAGCTGGAACCCTTACTGACGAGACCCATTGCAAAAAAAAGAAGCAGTAAAGACCTTGTATGACAGGCCCGTACAAAGCTCCTACGACAACCCTTGAGGGTCTCGGGCTCGGAGTCCAGGGTTTAAGGTTTAGGGTTTATGTCGGTTCAGGTTCAGGGTTTAGGGTTTCGGGTGTGATTAAAGCGCTTCCCATACTGGTGCCAAGCCGCCAACTCGAGTCGCGTTGCTCTTGAGCTGAGGCTGAGAGCTGCCCTGGCTAAGGTTTACTGTGGGCTTTGGGGTGTCGGGTTTAGGGTTCAACTGGGGCTTCCGGGAAGGGTGCCTGTGTTAGACGGGTCTGGGCGGTTTTTAAAAAGTAATTTTGGTTTGCTAATGCATTGTGCTTCCCTTGTTTTGGGGGGAATTCCTTACACATGAGAATCAGAATACACCATAAACATAAATAAAAACAAATATATATATAATATATTATATATATATACACATATATATATAATGTAAATGCTAACCCCCCATGAACCACCGCGACGTGCCGCGGTAGCTCCACCAATCCTCGTACGTTTAGGCTTCTGGTGTATGACCCAGGTTTAACGCTAGGTTTTGAAGTTCCGAGCAGACAGCATAAGTATATTGGCGCAGATACTCCGAGAGATGATTTCTCCAACCATGAAATTCATTTCTGACTGAATACCCGAAGTTCAATATGAGCCCGAGTGTTATCTCCCAAGGCAGCCTTCATTGTAGTCTCAGATCAAAGCCCCAGCAATACGTCTGAATGACGGTGACTGCTATTCCTAAAAACAGTATCCTTAAGACTGACCCTGCCATTAGACATTACACCGGCCCCAATGGTGATAGTAGTCTTCTTATTCATGTTCCCCCAAAAAACATTCCTTATAGATTCACGTCTTAATTCGAATGGATTAAAATGCTATGTCGACTGAACCCC